CTTTGCGTGAAGCCTTTCACCACAAGTCGCGCTTTAAATCTTTCTATATTCCCTTGGGAGTTATATTTCGTTTTGTAGACCCATTTACAACCTACTGTTTTGGCTTCTTTAGGAATATTTTCTAGGTCCCAAACTTTATTGGTACTCATTAATTTCAATTCATCTTCCATGGCCTTAAGCCACTTTGATGAGTGATCGCTTCTCATGGCTTCTTCAAATGAGGTGGGATCATCCCCCATCTGGCATTCTTCTGTTTCATAAACTTCATAGTCATCAGTAATAGCTGATCGTCTTATTCTTTGAGACCTTCTTGGTAGGAATAGATGTTCGGGTTTCTCAGAGAGAGAGAGAGAGGTGATAGGTTGCAAACCATCGAATGCCGTAGTTGTTGAAGCTCCGGCCGGGGTTTCGTTGACGGACGCCATCTGCGCGCCGGCAGCGACGGTCGGTGGAGAGGGAGTGGCGCTGTGGCGTCCTCGGCGGCGGCCTGAGCGTCGGGTGGCGTTGCCGGCGTCGGTGGTACTTCCCGTCGCTGGCAGCGCCCCTACTTTCGATCGGGTCTAGGGTTTGGATGTCGGTGGGGTGACTGGCGGCGCGGTGAACCTCGTACTGCGAGCCCCGGCCCCCACCTTTCCTTTATAGCGCTGTGCGACGGGGGCCCACCAACCATGTAGGGTTGGGCGCCCCCGATCAGGGCGCGAGGACAAGGCCCAGTTAGGCCGTTGGGCCTAACTGGTGGGAGATCAATCCTAACATTCTCCCCCTTGATCTCTCATCTATTCTTCGTTCTTTAATTTCATACTCAAAACTTTCAATTCATATTTTTCTTGCTTCCATCCTATTTCATCACAGATTAGTGCATAGAACTGTCCCATCGTCACAGCAATTAGTGCCGTTAGACTAACAGCCACAATACACTTCTCCGTTTTGAAATGTAAACTTTCTTTGGGCCCTTCGTATGTTCGGGAATTATAGGCTTTCCCTTAAACCCATGCCGGCTACGTGTTCTCTGAACACGTTGGGTGGTAAGCCCTTTGTGAGCGGATCCGTGAGCATTTTCTCTGTATTTATATGCTCAAGATTTATTATATGATCCCGAACTTTATCTTTCACAACATAGTACTTTATGTCAATGTGTTTGGCAGCACCACTTGACCTATTGTTGTGAGCATATTGTACCGCTGGGTTGTTATCACAATACAACCTCAGTGGTTCTTTTATATTATCAATCACTTTCAATCCGAGTATGAATTTCTTCAGCCAATTCACATACCCCATTGCCTCATAGCATGCTACAAACTCGGCATACATTGTCGAGGATGTAGTTACGGTTTGTTTAGAGCTTTTCCACGATATAGCCCCTCCTACGAGAGTAAATACATATCCTGACGTGGATTTTTTTTCATCTCCCACATAATCAGAATCTGAATACCCCTCTATCTGCAGGGAATCAGATCTTCTATACGTAAGCATGAGGCCTTTCGTACCCTGCAAATAACGCAGGACTTTCTTCACTAATTTCCAATGTTCAATTCCTAGATTCTTTTGATATCTGCCAAGTAACCCGGTAACAAAAGTTAAGTCAGGGCGTGTACACACTTGAGCATATTGTAAACTTTCAACAGCTGAAGCATACGGTACCGCTTTCATTCGGTCAATTTCATATTGGTTCTTGGGACATTGATGTTCCCCAAATCTATCGCCCTTGACTATAGGAGCAGGTGAAGGACTGCACGCATGCATACTAAATTTCTTCAGGACCTTTTCTATATATGCCTTTTGCGATAATCCTAGAACCCATTTTCTCCTGTCTCGGTGAATCTCTATTCCCAAAACGAACGAGGCCTCACCGAGATCTTTCGTATCAAAGTTTGAGGACAAGAATTTCTTCGTTTCCATTAGCAGATTGATATCACTACTAGCAAGCAAGATATCATTCACATACAAAATTACGAATATGTACTTTCCATTCCTGAACTTTGCATAAACGCAATTGTCCTCAACATTTTCTTCAAACCCAAAACCTTTTATTGTTCTATCAAACTTCAAATACCACTGTCTTGAAGCTTGCTTCAATCCGTAGATTGATTTCTTCAGGCGGCATCCCATATTTTCCTTTCCTTTTACGACAAAACCTTTCGGTTGTGCCATATAAACATTTTCTTCCAAATCCCCGTTTAGAAAAGCTGTCTTTACATCCATTTGATGTAACTCCAAATCATAGTGGGCTACAAGTGCTATTATAATTCTGAAGGAATCTTTACATGAGACTGGAGAAAACGTCTCATTGTAATCAATCCCTTCTCTTTGCGTGAAGCCTTTCACCACAAGTCGCGCTTTAAATCTTTCTATATTCCCTTGGGAGTTATATTTCGTTTTGTAGACCCATTTACAACCTACTGTTTTGGCTTCTTTAGGAATATTTTCTAGGTCCCAAACTTTATTGGTACTCATTAATTTCAATTCATCTTCCATGGCCTTAAGCCACTTTGATGAGTGATCGCTTCTCATGGCTTCTTCAAATGAGGTGGGATCATCCCCCATCTGGCATTCTTCTGTTTCATAAACTTCATAGTCATCAGTAATAGCTGATCGTCTTATTCTTTGAGACCTTCTTGGTAGGAATAGATGTTCGGGTTTCTCAGAGAGAGAGAGAGAGGTGATAGGTTGCAAACCATCGAATGCCGTAGTTGTTGAAGCTCCGGCCAGGGTTTCGTTGACGGACGCTATCTGCGCGCCGGCAGCGACGGTCGGTGGAGAGGGAGTGGCGCTGTGGCGTCCTCGGCGGCTGGCTGAGCGTCGGGTGGCGTTGCCGGCGTCGGTGGTACTTCCGTCATTGGTGGCGCCCTACTTTCGATCGGGTCTAGGGTTTGGATGTCGGTGGGGATGGTGGCGCGCGGTGAACCTCAGTACTCACGAGCCCGGCCCCCACCTTTCCTTTATAGCATGCTGTCATGACGGGGCCCACCAACCATGAAGGGTTAGGCGCCCGATCGAAGGTAAGCGAGGACAAGGCCCCAGATTAGGCCGTTGGGCCTAGCTGGTGGGAGATCAATCCTAACAAGCACAACTTATTTGCAGAGAAAATGAGTAGAGTGAAAGGCTACCAGCAGAAGTTCAGTCTGCTTACTTCTGAAACGAGGCTTTGCCTCTCCCAGTTCCTCCGCCCAGCCAACGTCTCCAGCAACGTGACGCGAAGCTGTAGACGTCGCAATTCAGCGTCGTCTCGCCACCTTCGCTCTGAACATACTCCGGAGCCATGTAGCCACTTCGTAAGACCGACATAGGAGTGTTCATGAAGACAGCGTGAGTTTACAGAGACAGTAAGAAAGTAAGGAGAATCATCAGTGACATTGTTACTGCTTACGGTGTGCCGATTATCGTCCGAGTCCCTGTAGCTCCAGCAGCAGGGAGCTGCAGCTGTTTGGCCGTCCCGAAGTCGGCCACCTGGCTTGCCATCCGCCATCCAGCAGCACATTGGCCGGCTTCAGATCCCGGTGGATCACGTTGCCGGCCGACCCTCTCCCTCGTGCAGGTGCTTCACGCCCTCGGCAATCCCCTGGATTATTTGCAGCCTCCTTTGCCAATTCAGCAACGCGCGATCCGTTGGTTTCCCTGACGATTGAAACAAGAAGCAGTATATACTCATGTCAACAGAACAGGCTGGGGGGCAGTGTTCAGAAATCAGAAGGCGAAATGTATCTGGCCGGACTCAGTAGGTTTGTACCGAATATGTATGCATCCAAGCTCCTCCTGTGCATGTAGTCGTACACCAGAATTCGTTCGCCGCCTTCCTCGCAGTAGGCAAGAAGCCGGACCACATTTTGGTGCTGCTGCAGCCCGGACATCACCTGTTTTTTCTCTTGTGAAATAGCTCACGATTGCCTCCGGAAGATCACTGATCGGTTTCAGTCTCTTCACGGCAATTGCTCTCCCGGATAGTCCGTGGAGGAGCGGATGTCCTCTGGGTAGCTTGCCCTGCAGGGGAATGGATTTTCACACACCAGAGTTATACTATCTTTTTCTTTTTTCTTTTTTCTTTTTTTAAAAGAGAACCTATGGTGGGGAGAGCTTCCCCACCTGGCTTATATTACCACTGTTCAGTTCAGTGATTAGCAATTAAAATCCATTGTCTCAAAAATTTTCATTTTCCTAGCAACCGAAGTTCTATCACAAGAACCATCCTGATATTTTGTCTAAAAAAATAATTAACTCGAAATTTTAACATGTCTGGTTTGGACAGTAGGAAAATTGTCTAGCGGGCTTGGAGATAGAAGGTGTTGCCTGGCCCAAATAAGCTGGCCAACCAACCAAACATGCCTAAAAAGTGTGTAGCTAAAGTACACCCAACATAGCCGGGGCTCAGCTGCACCAAAAAACTGTTATTATAGGCTATTGTTACAGTGATTAGCAGAGATAGGAAAAGCTGCGTGCAGCTGGAGCAGCTACTCCTCCTTTAGCTGCAACGAAAACCCTCGTAATATTTTGACAGCAAAATCTGAATCTGTGGATCACCACTGACTAACAGAGAATCAGAGACAGCAAACTACAAGCCTAGTTTTAGAATCTGTCAGTCATGACCAATTTTCATCATATCACATATATAATTTATCTAAATCTATCCTAAGTCAATTTTCTTTAACATTGACTAGAATATCCATAAAAATACATATTTTCTTATATGAAAAGAGTTATATGTTATGAAATAATTTTTACAACAAACCTAGCAATGTCAATATTATTGTATTATTTTGCTATGGGACACTCCACTTATGTGAAATTGGCTGTGGGATTTGGAATATTTTTTTCTTTGTTGTGGGATATTAAAGGGGTGTTTGGCAGGGGCTCCTCCAGAGGGCTCCTCCGGAGGAGCTTTGTGGCTCGTCCAAAATGTCTCTGGCTCTTTGTTTTTTCTCTCAAAACGGCTCTTTGATTTAAACGTTTGGCAGGACTCCGGAGGAGCCGGAGCCGAGACGGAAGGAGCCCCGCCAAACTAAGCCCTAATTTCTTTGTTGTAGGACATCTCCCAGTGTACCTACAGCAAAAAAAAAAAAGTACTGATGTCCACGGCAATTTCACGAAAGAGTAGTGTCCTGTACCAAATTTCGCCAAAATTTTATATATTAATGATCAAAGTTTTTAAAAAAGGTGACTTCGAACAAAAATAAGATTTTATTTGTGACCGTAAAGAAGTAGTAATAAACTTTTTCATCTGTTGGAGATAAACCGGACCTCATATACGATGCCAAAAGTACCTTCACCGACCACATTCCGCCTGGAGAAATTTCTTGTTGCGCTCTTGACGATGGCCAGAGCAATGGGAGCAACAGGGGGACTATGGGCGGTTTGTACCGCCTCTGCAATTTGTATTATCAAGTTCGGACCTAATTAATCATTTTTTTTTGTGTCAGATACAATCTTGCAACAATTTCTCCCAAATTCGTTCTTAGTAAATATTTAGATAAAAATGTAAGGAGAAAGGAACAATGATAGTATGGACGTCATACGTCTTATACGAGCCGCCCTCACAGCAAAGAAAACCAAGGAGAGGAGAGCGATGGCGCCCAGTATTGATCCAGCTGCTAGAAGGACCGCCATGTGTTTCTTCTTATCCCATTTTCGTGGTCCTGATTCAAATGGTAGAATATATATATTTTTAACCTCTAAGTTACACGTAAATTCGATTTTCAATTTTAAACTACGAAAAAGGGTAACGGACATCCTCCAACTGTCAAAACCTAGTCCTTTGACAGGTTATAAAAGTGGTTTTTATTTTCTAGATAGAAATAATAAAAACTTGGTTTGATCTTTAAAGGTTTATAATTGATTTATTTTAAATCAGAAAAATATGAGTTTCAGATTTCTTCTAAAAGTTTTGGTACCTTTGGAACCAAACTAAAGTCTTATTAGTTTTGTTGTGTGAAAATCCCCAAATTACTAGTACAGCAGTTGAGGTGTGTACTCATACCAGATACAGGCCTAGCCTGGCGTAGGTAGAGGGTCTGGCCTCCATCTACGTACCGTAGGTCAATGAGGTTTCGTGCCCACATGAGGCATCCTGTGCCGTCGCCTCCTCCTCGTATGTCCGCCGCGGCATACGCCACGCAGGAGCAGTTGGCAAGGCACCTCGCCCTGCACTGATCCAACGTGACGCTCGTGTCCAGCGACCGCGAGTCGACCATGTCCGGCAGCTTCACTCCCGGCAAAACGGCGAACCAGTCGGTGCTGCCGGTGGACCTCCTGCCACCGTCACCATCGCCATCGCCGCCGCAGTCCAGCGGCACGTTCTGCCGGCACCCGTCTGGGACACGGGCTGAACCCCACGACGCGACAGCGCCGCCGCCGCTGGCGTTCCACACGCCGGACGGTCTCGCACATGTCGTGCTTGTCGCAGATGTCCCGGGCCCCTGGAAGAAGTTGTTCCACGCGCGCGGCTGCCGTGGTCCCACCCGAGGCGCTCCACCATGCCGGAGTCGTTGAGGACGAGGCGGGACAGCGGCGTTCGGGCCTGGCGGCGTACCAGATCTGATCTCGCCGGGCTCACCGTCATCTGGTACGCGAACTCGTCGGCGTAGGACGCCATCTCCGGGATGCCGCTGAACCATAGCCCGTTCCACACTCCCGTGAGGAACCTGGTGGCGCCGCTCGAGTCCACCATCGCAATCTCCGGCGGCCCGCCCCTCGTGACGACCACGTACCGTAAGGTTCCCGTGAGAGGTCCTAATGGCTAGAGGGGGTGAATAGACTATTAAAAATTTCTACAACAATATTTAACAAATCGGTTAGACAATTATGATAGCAAATTTAAGTAAAGCTCTCTACTAGCAACACATTGGATATGCTCATGTCATTGGATATTGCAATCTTACCAAGCTTATTGATCTTGCCTTTGCCATTGTCACCAAATATGATACTATCATAACTATCATTTCCATTGGTGTTGATTGAGTTGAACATTCTTACATTACCGGTCATGTATTGAGTGCACCCACTATCAAGAACCCAATGTCTCCCTCCGGCTTTCTAATTAACCTACAAAAGAAGATCAATTCTTTTTAGGTACCAAAACTTACTTGGGTTCTTGAAGGTTAGTCACTAAACTCTTTGTTCTCAAATGTCTTTCTTCTTTGAGCCCATCCATGATTTACCAATGAACTTAGCATTTATACCATTTGTACTCTTTGTAAGTATATAGAAAGAATCAAGCTTAATGGAGGATACATTAGCTTGTGACTTTTTGTTCATGCACTTTTGCTCTACATGACCAACTTGCTTGCAACTAGTGCAAAATCGATCATTGTTCTTCACAAAACTAGTCTTGTGAGGAGCAAAGGGCGCCTTGTCTTTCTTGGGGGTATAGCCCAAATCCTCTTTGTAGAGAGAAGCACTTTGGCTACCCAAGCACATAAGCAAGCTTGTCCTCCCACCATAGGCCTTGGCCAAAGTGTGAATGAGCTTATTGACCTCCTTCTTGAGGTTCCCATTCTCAACCATTAGTGAGGCATCACAAGTGAAACCGTCACTACTAAATGAGGTGAAAGTAGAAGTACTACAAGAAAAGAAGGGAGCAACAATGATAGACATATATAATGATTCATCAATTATATCACAAGTTAAGCCTATATTGCAAGTTTCAACATGCTTCTTTTTATTTTGCTCATTAAGCAAAGAGGAATGAGCCTTTTCAAGCTTTTTGTGAGTCTTGCCAAGCTTCTCATGGGATTCCTCTAGCCTCTCATGAGATGCATTAAGCTCATCAAAGGCTTGCTTAAGGGCTTTTAGTTCCTTACGTAAGCTTTTTGTATTCTCTCTCTTAATACCAAAGTGTTCTTTAGCATCTTCTAGCATGTCAAATAGTTCATTCTTAGTAGGTTCATCATCATCACTATCACTATTATTTTTATTTTCATTTTCATTTTCATTTTCATTATCATGTTCTTCATCACTTTCATCATCACACATTTGTACCTTAGTGGCCTTAGCCATGAAGCATGATGGAGTATCGAAGAGAGAAGGCTTCTCATTGACAACAATGCTTGCAAGTGCCTTCTTCTTAGTGGTCTTGTCATCATCACTTGAGGAAGCATCACTATCCCAAGTGATCACATATGACCCACTCTTCTTCTTCTTGAAGGTCATCTTGTCCTTCTTCTCTTTCTTTTCCTTCGTGTCATTCTTCTTGTTCTTCTTGTCATCATCTTTGTCACTATTGTATGGACATTGAGCAACAAGATGATCTTTGCTTCCATAATTGAAGCACCTTCTTGACTCTTCCTTGTTCTTGGATGAAGATTTCTTTCTTCTAGCACGGTAGCCTTTCTTCATCATGAACTTCCTAAATCTCTTGACAAAGAGAGCCATCTTCTCATCATCATCATCATCCCATGAGCCATCATCTTCACTTGATGTATCTTGCTTTGCCTTGCCCTTGGATGATGTGTCCTTGAATGCCACGCTCTTCTTCTTCTCATCCTTCTTCTCATCTTTCTTCTCCTTCTTTTCTTCCTTCTCATCGTCATCTCTATATGTATCATCGGTCATTATATCTCCCAACACTTGGTTTGGTGTCATGGTGTCCAAACCACTCCTTACTAGAATAGTGACCAATGTGCCAAATCTTGAAGGCAAGCATCTCAAGAATTTGTGGGAGAAGTCCTTGTCCTTCACCTCTTCTCCAAGTGCTTTGAGATCATTGACAAGCATCCTAGCTCTGGTAAGTTCAATTCAAAGTCAACCTAATGAGCAGGTAACCGCTACCCACAACATATCTACCCGACTAGCTCGGGCCAGTCGTCCTGTACGACTCGGTATGGATCTCGTGGTCACATCTACTCCTGAAGGGCGCTCCGTTCGTCGCCGGCCAGCCCCCGCGACGGGTCTCTGGCTCTCCGAATACAAAACCTCGATGGAGAATTACCAGGCTCAGCCCTACGGCCTACGAAACACTGCTTCCAACTATGTGTACAGTATGCAACGATCTTGGCCAAGACCACGCAACTTCGTCAACATGGTCCGGATCGAGGAGTTCCAAGAAGGATCGGTCCACACAGTTTGAGAGGGTGGCTCAAGCTCCACGTCTAGCACCGCATCTAATGGCTCCATCCACACCGAGCTCCAGCATCATGATGATGAAGGCGTTGAATACGATCTGGATGTCCCAGACCATGCCCCGGGGTTCCCACGATTCCCATCCTTCCCACTAGGGCGAGGAGACTTGATCAACGTTGTCAGTAATGATGAACCACCAGCTGTCGGCAAAACAGAACAAGAAAGGCTAGCACGCGAAGCACGTAATATTGACCGATTTAATCATCGACAAATCGAAGCCGAGGCTGAAGAGGAGGCACGACGCATAAGGGTCCAGCCGCGTGACCTTAACAATGCCTTTGATAGGGTGGGGGACAAGCAAGTCTTCAGGACCCCAAGCGCCAACGTAGCTGTTGCTATGGCGACAATGCAACGACTACCCAATACCCCGGAAACCCAGGCAGTTCGTGATGATATACAAGCTTACTTGACGACTGCTATGGCCCAGACCGCAGAGATTGTAAATCAAGCCCGGGCTCCATCCGTCTCAGTCAAATCAAGCCACAGCCGCCAGTACTCAAGTCGCTCACAGCCACCCAACCAACGTGGCTCGCGCAACAACAACCCATCAGACAACCGTCAAGGCGGGAACGGTGGCCATGATGGTGGTCGGGACGACAATCGCCGCGGCTACCGGGACGACAACCGCCGAGACAACCGTGATAATCGCCGTGATAACCACGATCGCAGGGTTATCCAGGGTGGCAACCGGGATCGCCATGATGGCAATAACAATCTCCGCCATTACCTCGGAGAACGCGATCTGCGCGATCGCATTAATCAAAGAGCCAACGATCATGCATCCCACGAAAGCTATCGCCGTATGGAATATGATACTACCCACGGCCCTCTGGGTTTGAAGCAGTTTACTCCACACCTTCGCCAAGTCATATGGCCCAAGAACTTTAAGCTCAAAAAACTTCAGAAGTACGACGGCAAGGAGAACCCTGAATTATGGGTCATGCCCTACGAAACTGCGTGCAGATCAGCCATGGCTGGCGAGCACATCATGTCTAACTACTTCCCAGTCGCTGTCGGCCATGCAGGCCACCAATGGCTGGTTAGCCTACCGGCGAACTACTTTGATTCTTGGCAAGAGCTCAAGCAAGCTTTCATCGAAAACTTCATTGCTACTTGTGAGCAACCCGACAACAAATATGATCTGCAGCGGATTCAAGATCAGAAAGATGAGCCACTACGCAAGTACATCCGGCGTTTCTCGGAGATGCGCATCAAGGTCCCGTCAATCTCCGACAATGAGGCAATTGAGGCTTTCATCACTGGTCTTTGCTTCCACGATGCCCTATGGGACAAGCTCCTCCATAAGAGACCTGAATCAGTCACAGCACTCTTGGCCACTGCCAAGAAATATGCGGATGCCGACGATGCTAAAAAGATAATCATCGAAGAAGCAGCAAGAGTTCCACGCTCCGACCACCCTCCACACCACGACGACTACCACGACAACCGTGGTCGGAACGACAATTTTGATCACCGCAACCAGCGCAATGACCCCCGCGACCACCGTGACCAGCGTAATCAGCGGCGTAATCGCCGTGACGATTACATGGGCAAGCGTGCTCGGGAAGACGACGATGAGGTCAACACCATTCAGAAAGGTGGCGGACGTCGTAACTACGAAGAAGACTACGCCAAAGCATTGAAAGGACCTTGCCAGCTCCACCCCAAGTCGAACCATACCATGGAGAATTGCTGCGTTCTTAAGTCTATCTACACGCGTCAACAGGCTCCGGATACGTCCCACAAGCCTAACGACGTAGGGGAACAGCGCAACGAGGACGACGATGATGAAGACGCAGATCCCCGTCATAAGTACGTCAAGCCAACCGATCACGTCCACACCATCATTGGAGGCAAAGTGTCCATCGAGACCAAACGAGAACGCAAGCTGCTCGCCCGCACTTGCTTGAACGTGGCCAACGCTGACAACCTCATCGCTGATCCGTGGCTCCCTCCTTGGTCTCACCGTGAGATCTCTTTCAGCAGAAAGGACCAATGGGCCACAATACCTGAGCCAGGATGTTTTCCTCTGGTCCTCGATCCTTGTATCAACAAGGTCCAGTTCGACAGAGTGCTGATTGATGGCGGCAACTCCATTGATATACTGTTCAAGAATAGTTTGCCAGCTCTGAAGATAACCTAGGCTGATCTCAAGCCATACGAGGCACAGTTCTGGGGTGTTCTCCCCAGATAGAGCTCTACTCCTCTTGGGCAGATCACGCTACCTGTGCAATTTGGTACTCCAGACTACTTCCGCACCGACTACGTCAACTTCATGGTCGTCGACTTCGAAGGCACCTACCATGCTATCCTTGGTCGACCAGCGCTCACCAAGTTCATGGCCATACCTCACTACAAGTATTTGATGCTCAAGATGCCTACTGAGAAGGGGGTTCTAACTCTCAAGGGCAATGTGTACGCAACTTACACTTGCGAGGATGACAACTTAAAAATAGCAGAGGCTCATGACCTCTCTATTCGCATGACTGAGACCACGCTCGACGCCAAGAAGACCCCAACCGATCACCTGGAGATCCTAGAGCTCGAGGC